CCATTGCCTAAATTCCTTTTTTTTTTTTTTTTTTGCTTTTGACTAGCATTTCAACGTTCTGGGGTCCCTAACTTCGCCCCCAAAGTCAGCAGGAAGTAGCATGGGAAAGAATTCGCCACCCAAATTCCCTGGTTAAAATGCTAAGTCAGAAGGAACTCCCTTGCATGTGGATGCTGATATCTCTCACTCCCTGATGGCGCTAGAGAGACAGCAATTACATGATTAGAATTTCCAAAAAAAAAAAAAAAAAAAAAATGGGGGAATGAAGGGACCAACCCCCCATTTTGGCAGCCATGACATGTGCTCACTATAACCTTGCCTTGGTCACTAAGAGGTCAGATGCCTGCCTCATGGCAAGGAGCCAATCAGAAGTTAGATGGTGATGCTATGCTTTATGGCTCTGGGTGTGCTTTACGGACAAGTGCACAGCAATGATGCACAGAGCATAGCAACCACCCTGGGAGGGCCTATGGGCCATAACAACCAGTTGACCAATCAACACAGGGCAACCCTCCAAGCCTGGAGGCACACCAATCCTGAGCCTGTGCGTACCCCTAGACACTCCCCTTATGCTGCCCTACAAGATTGCTCAGCAGCCGGTTCAAGGTGTCTTTGCTAGCCATCCGCCATGGCAGGTGGGTGAAAGACCCAAGCTAACATGGGGTTAGGTCGTTAAAAAAACAGTAAAGCCTACCTCAGTTTGCATCAAGCTCTCGAATCTGCCTGGTGATTGGGGTGACCGCAGTCATGGGCTGAGACCCCGGAGGCCTGAGTTTTTCTGGGAGTCTAACAGGCTTGAGACAGTTTCCTTCACTGTTTCAGCTTTTCTTTAATTCCATTTCACAAGTTAGAAGCTCAGCTGAGTATAGTCTTGCCCTGAGGTCACCACTCCCATTATTCCATTTAGCATCAGGCTTTTCTTTAAACTTTTTATCTCCTTGAACACTGGACTTAGCTCCACTATAGTTTCCCATGCTCCTTCTCTCATCAGACTGCACATTTTGTATTTTTTCCTTTGCTTAGCTTGCTCCTTTTCATTATAAATCTGCATAAGAGTTACCTCTAATAACCAGACAATACTAAGGTGTCTTGAACTCTCCTCTGCCAATGCCATTTATCCAAAACTCTTCAATTTAGCCTAGATAGATTTTTGTTTTCAGACAAGGGCAGAAAGCAGCTACATTCTCATTAACAGTCTCTGGGCCACTTACTAGTATTGTTCTCCCCCGAAACCTCTAGAGCCAGCCATCATAATCTGCATCACTCTCCTCTTCCTCACTGTCTTCCCTGCTCTTACTAGTAGGGCTCATTAAGACCAGCTTAGTGTTCAACTTTTCTAGTCTTAAGTCCAAAAGTCCATATTCCATCAACAAGCAGCATGGTCAGTCAGGTACCAGCAATATCCTACTCCTGGTACCAACTTCTGTCTTAGTCAGTGTTCTACTGCTTTGTTAAAAAACATTGGTTATTTGTCCAATGGAAAAATAGCCGCAGTATAAATCAGTGCTACATTACTGAAACTCTGACTCTGTTTTGCATTTGAGTCAAAGGAAAAAATAAGTCTCTTTGACCTGCATTTTTTGAATTAGCACACTAATTCACCACAAATTTTGATTCCTTGTTTATATATTATTCATTAGCAAGCCTGCATCTTTTCACATTTCTATAAATAATACTGACATAAAACAATAAAGTAACATAAAAGAAAGTTTATTCCAAGTTTATTGTGAGTGAGGTGTCTGTGGCCAGGGGCAGGAATTCACCTTGCCTTGAATGACATGTCCACCATAGAGGAGACACCACAGAACAAGGGTTACAGATCAGTCCATTACCATCTACACTGTGGGGGCCTCAGGGACCTGGGCTACAATATGGCTGGGAAACTCCTTCCCTGATTTCCAGATGTTGTATCATTCTTAGCATTAAGATTAGTGGAACCTTGAGTCTTTGGGGCTTAATAGTCTCATCTAAAAAGATTATCTGCTAGAAGATAGTTAGGCCAGATGTCCATCAAAGGCCTCAAATGATTTTGATTCTCAACTTATGTTCCATCTCTCCACAATGCTCTAATCATCCAATGCTATGCTGTTTGCAGAATCTTTAATGTAAACAAAGTTTCATCCAAGAACTGTAGTTCACAGTTGTAATGTATATGTTCATATACATTCACTTTAAATATTCATATTTTTCACTTATATAAGTATATGCCAATTTATTTTGTTTTAAAAAAATTAAGACACATATCCAGCACTTGGAAGATGGAAACTGAGGATCAGTAGTTCAAAGTCATCCTCACATACAAAGTTTAAGGCCAATTTGGGCTATGAGAGAATGTGTCTCAGAGGAAAAACAGAGAAGAAACCATTTAGTAAGCTTTGGATCTTTTATCTCCTTGTTTTAAGTGGCAAAAGGTGACAACAGCTGATAGAACAATTACACAATTAAATTGAAAATTAACTCTGAAAACTCACTTTTGGGACACTCTTCCAATTCGGCAAATAAATATTGCCTTGTCAACACAAGAGGGAGACAATTTTTAATTTTGGCCCAAACGCAAAACAAAGCCGGAGTCTCGTTAAAGTGTCACCGATTTATATGGGAGCTTTTTTCCGTTGGTCAAATGACCAAAGATTTTAACACTTGCTGAGCGATTCAGACACACAGCTGAGTATTTTTCTCAGTGCTAATCGTCCAGTATTGGAGAAAAATAATAAATGCAAGCGAAACAAACACAGAGCGGAGACGAAGGCGGGGCGGCTAGCAAAGCTCAAGAGCAACAGGCGAGCCTGGGTCTTCCGTGTGCAGAGATGGAACGGCCCAGCACGGTACAGCCCAGCACTTGGCGGCATTTTCTCTCCAATTGCACCCCAGGCTTGCGAGCACCCAGGGACCACAGCCAGGCATCTGCGTGACCCCGCATCGGTAGATCCTCGCTTAGGGTCCAGGGAGAACGATAGGACCTGGAGCCAAGGATTGCATGCTCCGGCGTACGGATGGCAATCCGAGGGCCGGAAATCCACTTCTCCGCAGTTTGCAGAGGACTCCGCAGAGACGCTGCGCTGCGCTGCGCCGCTTGGTTGGCTGATCTCCGGGCGTGCGCAGTGGCCGCCCGCGGGGCACACGGGTGTTGGCGGCGCCTGAAGAGGCCCCGGCCGAAAGGGCTCATCACCAGGGTCATGTCGGCCCAGGGCGACTGTGAGTTCCTGGTGCAGCGAGCCCGAGAGCTGGTGCCGCAGGACCTGTGGGCAGCTAAGGCGTGGCTTATCACGGCCCGCAGCCTCTACCCCGCCGACTTCAACATCCAGGTGAGTCAGAGCCGGCGCGTCCCTGTCCCTGTCCCCGTCCCGGTCACCGCGCGCCGAACGGAGCTATGGGCTAAGCTGGGCGGCCCTGGGCGCTGTGCACGGCCGCTCTTGCCTCCCCAAGTCACTCCTATGCTGCTCCGCCTGGCACCGTTGACCAGCCTTCTCCCCAACGGCGGAGACCACACGCTGGTTGAGGCCCAGGCCACTCATTCATTGATCGTGGTGGTAGCCGGCTGCTCAGCGCCTGCTGCTCTGAAACATACTCTCAGTTGATCCCAGAAGCCCCCGGGATGCAGTGAGCCCAGAATCCCACTCCTGAGCTCCTGGCCACCAGGGGATGCTTTGTGCTCAGGCTCTCCTTTCCCTTGCGGGTGTTTTGGGTAAAGACCCAACTCTGAGCGGTGCTGCAGGTGGGCTGGAGCTGGACCAGCAACCACGGTGGAAGGTGGTGTGACCCTGTCTGCCTTGTTTCAGTATGAAATGTACACCATCGAACGGAATGCAGAGAGGACTTCCACAGCGGGGCGGTTGCTGTATGACATGTGAGTTAACTGTTTGGGATCCTCCTGGGACCTTTTGTCGACATCCTAAGAGGGCTCCTCAGATACCGACAATTGACAGGAGTTGGGACTCTGCATCCCTGGTACACACATTCTACAGAGTCAGCTTGTGCTTGTATTTTAAACCCAAAATTGTATCCCGTGGTTTATTTAAGAAACAGTCCTTCTTTACAAGCATTCAGACAGTAATTGGTAGAATAAAGTGTGAAATCCCTTCCAAACCAGACTTAAGTTCTGTATGTTTCTGTGTGTCTCTGTGTAAACACGTGAATACATTGGGGAGCTGACAATGTGAGGGCTTCTACTCCTACTCTGAAGCTTACTTTCATCACCCACTGTGATGGACCCTGCGATGTCTACTTTATAGAGATGGGTGGTGTTCTTCATCCCCATGTAGCGCACTGCTCAGCCTCTCCGTTCTTTGGTTTCCAGTTATTTTAAGTTGTAATGTCAGTAATTCTGTATCCATATTTTGGTGTCTCTGCTTTGTGGTTAAAGGGTATGTACATTTCATCATCTATCAAATTATTCTCTAAAAGGGATAACCTAAATATCCATTTCCACAAATGATATATAAGAATGCCAGTTTTCCACACTCTCACCAACCTTTATATGATCATCTCTATCCTTTTCTTTCTTCCTTTCTCACCCCCCCCTTTTTTTCTCTTTCTCTTGAGCCAAAGGAATCTCATTTTATTGGCCAGGGTGGCTTTGAACCCAAAAGACTCCACCTGCTAGCCTCCTTTGCAGCTGGGACACAGGCTATACCATCACACCAGGCCTGTGTCACGGGGGAGAATCATATCCTACTATGTTGTTTCTTACGTTTGTGCTCTTGGAGCTACCAACAATGTTGAGCATCACTATAACTGTTCTGTTTGGTAGAGTATTACTTACTTTTCCTATTGCTGTGACCTGTAGAAAGCAACTTAGAAAGGAAGGGTGTGTTCTGACTCAGGGTTTAAGGGTACAGTCCATCTCGGTGGGGAAAGCTTAGCGAGGGGGGCTGATGATCGCAATACGCACGGAAAAGATGAATGATGGCTCCCAGCTTGCTCTTGTTTTCTTTTTTTTTTTTTTCTCATGTATCCCAGATTGCTGTGGGCTCAAATTTGTCAAAATAGCTAAAGATGACCTTGAACTTCTGATCCTCTTGCCTTTACCTCCCAAATGACAAGCATTCACTACCACGTGTTGTTTATGGGTCACAGGGATAGAAGCCAGGGCTTTGTATATGACAAGAAAGCACTCTACCCACTGAGCTACAGCCCTAGCTCCTCGTTTATACAAACTTCTAAAGACTTTGAGTATTCCCAATTGTTTTAACTAATAGATTGTTTTTGTATATCTATTTTTGTTTATTCTGAGGTATATAACCATTCATGTAAAGTGATTGTCTCCTAAATGCTGGTATTCTTACTTTTTGGAGTGTGACATCTTACTTTAATACATTCGTTTTAAAAATAGGTTTGTGAATTTCCCAGACCAGCCCGTGGTATGGAGAGAAATCAGTATCATAACATCAGCACTGAGGAACGATTCGCAGGATAAGCAAACCCAGTTTTTAAGGAGTGAGTACAGTAACTAACAGTCGAATAGTTTATAAATGACCACTTCTGGAATGTCATGTCTGTCACAGACATCTCAGCCACACCTGTCATAGTGGTGGGTACCCATTGTGTTTTATTCTAGGAAATGAAAGTCCACTTGGTCCCTTCAGAATTTATTTAGAATACGTGAAGTGTCCTAATGAGATGATTGTCAGTTTGATCATGAGATTGTATTTTGGGCACATTTTACAATGACCAGAAAACATCTATAGAAAAACCAGATCTTTACAAAATAGAAAAATGTCAAACTTTAGCCAGTCAAAGACCTCCAATTCCTAGATAATTAGCAAGCAGATGGTTTTGGTCATTTCAACGTAAGCAAGTTCACACCTTTATCTTAGTATAGCTAGCTCTGTGGTGATGAATCCCACAGGTTATCCTTGGCCTCTGGATCATCAGGCCTCCAAATGTTTCACGATTATTCAGCAAACAGCTTATGCCAAGCAAGTACTCTGAAGTTCAGAAGTCTACTAGTATGCAGGTGAATTCTGATGTTTACGGTTTCATGAATGGGAAATTTCTTATATATTTCTTTGAGGTTAGCATTTTCTTCGTGAAAAAATATTTATGGGTGAAATGTTGTTCACAGGCTTATTTGAAACTCTCCCGGGCCGGGTCCAGTGTGAAATGCTACTGAAGGTGACGGAACAATGCTTCAACACGTTGGAACGATCAGAGATGTTGCTGTTGCTTCTGAGACGCTTCCCTGAGACAGTGGTTCAACATGGGGTAGGAGAGATACTGTCCTTTTCTTTAAGAAAAGACTATAATTGCTTATCAGTTATTCCTTGGCACGCATTACACATTTCTAGAAGTTGTCTTATCAACCTAAAGTTATAGTTCCCGAAATTTTGACAGTGGTATTCAGTAGAAAGTCACCTATTTCCATTGTGTTTGGCAATGTGTTTGGATTTAAGTGAGAGTCAGAGGGCTGGCCAGATGGCTTAGTGGGAAAAAGTATCTGCCACCAAGACCGACAACCTGAACCCCATCCCTGGGTCCCACATAATGGAAGAAGGAATCGGATTACAGCAAGTTGTCCTCTGGCCTCCCCTTGAGTGCCGTGGCATATACTTCTCCCCTCCATGCATAGATAAATTGAAAATAAGTAAGAGTCCTAGTTTATGGTCTTCAAGTGTTCCTGCCCTGCACACCCTGTTGTGCCAACTAATCTGTCAGTTCTCTAAGTGTATGATGACTAGTGAGTGCTGTTGGCAAGTGTTGGTGGGTTGGTATTAGGTACCTAGAGAAACTGAGTTCTCAATGTTTGGTAACTTACTGTGGCCAGCAGGTAGTCGAGATTCAAGTGATTGGCTCTTTTTACTTAAAGTCTATTGCTTACTTCTTCATGTCCTTTTTCTGGTGTCTGGCCTACCTAACTTTTTTCGTACTTTTATTAGTTTTCTATGTCTATCATTACAGAGCACCAGAAGTGGGGTATCTTCCCACAATTTTGAAAACTACAATTCCAAAGTAAGGTGTAGGTATTGGTCTAGGACACATTCCTTTCAGCGGGTATCAGCTAATTGCTGCTTCATTCCAGTTGTTAGCTCTGATGTCACATGGCCCTTTCCTCTGTGTGTCTCTGTCTGTACTTGACATTCTTTATGGACGCCAGTCTCTGCATCTGGCCTACTCTAAAATGACCTCATGTTTTTATCTGCATAGACAAACTCTTCTTTAAAAGGAGAGCTATGCAGTCATGCAGCCCTTAAAGAGATTTTGGTTAATAATGGACTCTGTACATGATAGTAGTCCTATGAGGTTATACTGTCCAGTGACAACATGGCCATCTGGTTTGTGGTCTATACTCTGTGATGAAATTGCCATGTACAGACACATCCAGGTTTTCGGTGGATATGAATTTGGGGGGGCACAATTCAGACCTTACATTTTTTGATTGTTGCAGTGTCTTCTTGTGTGTCATGTGATCTTTTGCACTGTTCCAACGAGACTACGGTGTTGCAGAGACAATAAAGTGAACATGTGGGTGGATTTTGTGCTCTGTCATGACACCAGTGAGGGGAAGGTGGCAAGGAAACTCATACATTTTTGTCCAGTGCTTCCCAAACTGTATGATTGTCTACTGGGGTCTCTTGAGAGTAGGTGTTATCATTCTGTGTCTCTTGACAGTGTAGTGTAGGTTCCCAATTTCTTAGACAGTCTCTCCGACTACCATCATTTGTGTTGTCCCTCCTCTGTCATACTGGAGTTTCTGTAGACATTTTGTTAGCCCTTTAACTTTGCTAGTTCCTAGGAGAATGGGACCAGAGTGGACAGGTAGTCAGTGAACTTGATCTTCCGGGCAATGTCACTGAGGTATTCTGATGTTTCTAGTCTTTAAAGTAGATTTGCTTATTTCTTTAAGAAATCTCTGTGACAAGTAGAAAGAATACTGTTTCTTCCTGTGATTCTTATACTGTGCACGTTAAGTGATTTTTATCTTTAAACAGGTTGGCCTTGGGGAAGCGCTGCTAGAAGCTGAAACCATTGAAGAGCAGGAGTCTCCTGTAAACTGCTTCCGAAAACTATTTGGTAAGAAACACTGTGTTTTGTATTATTTCTTGGGGGTAAGGGAAATATCTGGCAGTGTCATATCAGAGGTAAGGTCATTTGTACACAGCATAGGAACTTTTTATGTTGTGAAATTTAATCATGCTTTTAGCTGTAAAACATCTAAAAAACTCTTAACTGTGTGTTATTTAATGTTTGTTCCCTCTGATAGAACGTGTATATATAGGATGTGTGTACGGATGAAATAATCATGGACACTCCAGCCTCCTCCCAGGCCAGCAGATCTCTAGCCATGGTGTCAGATCCACAGGCGTATTTCCTCTCTGCCTGCCTCCACTGATGTTGTCCTCTTGTACAGCTGGTTTAAACAGTTGTGCCAGAATGATTTCCCCCTAGATATTTTAGATGCTACATTCAGTAAACTGGAAAATGAATTAGTTTCTGTCAGAACCCAAGTGCAAATGGATGAACAGTTTGTTTTCTCCTTTCAACAGTTTGCGATGTCCTTCCTCTAATAATTAACAACCATGATGTTCGATTGCCTGCCAATTTGTTATATAAATACTTGAACAAAGCAGCTGAATTTTACATCAACTATGTCACTCGATCCACACAGTTGGAAAATCAGCATCAAGGTGAGTGGGAGCATCCCACACCTGCTCAGACTGGCTTTGTCCTTTTCTGTATCGATTGTCCTTCTCTGGATGTGTACTAGTTTGATAAGTTTTTGTAAAAGATGCCTGTAGGAGGGGAAAAAAAGTATATAATTAGGAGTTGATATTTTTCTGTAATAAGTTCTACCCCTTGATTGAAATAGTCCAGTTCCTAAACATCATACGGTTATTACCACACAGGTGCCATAGCTCAGATGCCACTTTGAACAGCCAATCATGAATCCTTGGGCAAAGTCAGAACAGTCATCTCGCACATGTGCTGTTAGCGATTTTACTGTATGAATATCATAGGTATACCAAGCTCAATGGTATAGCCCACTTCTTAATGGTATTGCTTAGTACCCACAGGTGTAGCAAGCTTCCTGGATCACCAGCCCCCAAATCATGACACAGAAACTTATTTTTAATTATGAAAGCTCTGCCTTAGCTTAGGCTTTTTTCTAACTAGCTCTTATAACTTAAATAAACCCATTTCTATTAATCTATGTGCTTCTACAACGGCTCGTGGCTTTTACCTCTCCTCCTGCATATCCTGCTTCCTCTCCATCTCAGGTGTCTCTTTAGCACCAAGATACACCTTCTTTTCTCTCTGCCTGGAAATCACGCCTAACCTCTTCCTGCATAACTATTGGCCATTCAGCTCTTTATTAAACCAGCTGGAAATAACCTTGGCAAAGACACATCTTCACAGTGTAAAGGAATATTCCGTATTTCCCCCTTTTTGTCTAAATAAAAAGGATAGGGTTTAACAGTAAAACTGTATACAATAAGAACAATTATCAAAGGTGGGCATTGGTGGCGCATGCTTTTAATCCCAGCCCTTGGGAGACAGTGGCAGGCGGATTTCTGTGAGTTCGAGACCAGCTAAAAAAAGAAAGAAGAAGAAAGAAAGAAAGAAAGAAAGAAAGAAAGAAAGAAAGAAAGAAAGAAAGAAAAGTTATCAGGTATGGTCCAAATAAAAAGGGAAGGTTTAACTTTAACAAAGTAAAACTGTATACAATAAAAACAATTTTCAAGTAAGAATTACATTAACCGTGTCCAGTCCATATGTAGTTGTAAAATTTTGAGAAATATCATTTTAGACCTTAAAACATTTTCTTAGATATACAATTTAAGCCTTTATGTCTCCCAACCTTTTACAATATCTCTTATGTAAGTTTCTTTTCTGAATTTGGTAACAAAGAAAACTGTAATTATAACTGTGTCATCTTCAATTCTATCAGGGACCCAAAAAAGATAAAATATTCCTAGAGTAAACAGGAAGTACAGAGCAAACAGCTTCCAAAACTAAGAAACGACAGATTTCTGGCTGCCTGGACAGTCACTCCGAGGTTCCTCTGTAACAATGGGGAGTCCATCTTTGGCCTGCAGGTCTAAAATATATGACAGACTTTTCTATGAAGCAGGAATTTTGAAGGACTTTCCTACCTTATCTTGGCAAAGTTTGGCAATGGCTTTCTTTTGTGTCCTGCTTGTCCAGTTTGGACAGCATTCTGTCAGCAGTTGAGGCAAGGGCAGTTTCTTTATCCAGTGGGTAACCTTGCCAGAAATGAAAGTGAACTCTATATGGAGGTTCTTAAATGCCCATCATTCTTTTATGAAGTAGATTGGTGCTGCCAGGAACAAACTTGTCTCACTGTCAGGAAAAGCCTTAGGTTATTAAAGCAACTTAAATATCATATTCTGTAGGTCTCTGAAGTGTTTGAAGACCAACTATCTATCTAAAATATATCTCTGTTTCAACTTGGAAGCATACCTAACATGACTATAAGTTTAATTGTTATAGATGACTACTAACCTGTTTTTATTATTCTGAATAGCTTTAAGAACTAAAACTTTGGGGCTGGAGAGATGGCTCAGAGGTTAAGAGCATTGTCTGCTCTTCCAGAGGTCCTGAGTTCAATTCCCAGCAACCACATGGTGGCTCACAACCATCTGTTATGAGATCTGGTGCCCTCTTCTGGTGTGCAGATATACATGGAAGCAGAATACTGTATGCATAATAAATAAATAAAATCTTTTTTTTAAAAAAAAAGAACTAAAACTTTACATTGCCTTTTTGAATGAGCTGCATAGGCACAATACCTTAAGCAAGAATAGAAACATATATACAGTATAACAAAAATAACCTTAAATTTGTATCAATATACAAAAATCCATGACAATGGAAAATATTTGAGACTAGTGGTTGTTCAAAAGTAGACTCAACAATCCACCCTTTATCCCATCATTTCTATACCAGATCTCCCTCTTTCCCTTCAGAAAGAGATCCCTGAACCTAATCTCCTTTGTTTACCTTTCTCCCTGACCATGACCAGTAACAATTTGTAACCAACACTCCCCACCCCAATGATGACAAACATCCATAACCCATCAAATGACCAAGACCACACACCCCACCTCTTGGGAATATGGGTGGCATATTCTCTAGACTGCTTCCTGTTGTCTGGGGATGATGGCATCTTTAGGAAACCCTGAGGAAAACTGAGATAGTCAAGTCCTGGGAAAACTAGCCATTACATTTTTGGTTTTTTGAGACAGGGTTTCTCAGTGTAGCTTTGGAGCCTGTCCTGGAACTAGCTCTTGTAGTCCAGACTGGCTTTGAACTCACAGAGAATCCGCCTGCCTCTGCCTCCAAAGTGCTGGGATTAAAGGTGTGTGCCACCAACACCCACCATTTTTTTTGTTCAGTCTCTGTATAATGGGAAAGTATAATTTGCTACTTTTATGAAAATACTAGACTGTGAGGCTAGACCATCTCAGCCAGCAGCCTTGAAGCTGTTCTGGATGCAGAACTCTGAGGAAACAGATATTCTGTATTGACATGGTTGGGAGTGTTCAGGGGCGGTGGAAGGCTCCATTGTGGACTTACAATTACTGTAGACTCAGCCCACATAAAATTTATTAAAAATTTCTTTCTTTACTAATAAATTACTACTGTAACTTTGAACTTTTTGATATTTTTGAAAACCTTTTTGATTCTTTTTACTTAAAACATGTTGCTTAGCTGGAAAAATAGTTTGTGTCTTTATAATATGTTCTCTAGGAATTTTTTTTTTCATGTTTTAAACTTTAGTTGGAGTGGGGGTTAGGGAAGGAATGTGAAGGGGGAAATGATGTAATTATATTTTAATTAAAATTTTATGAATTATGGAAAATAAAGCCTTCTAACACCAAAAAGAAAAAAGAAAGAGAACCACCCAAAACTATGTCCCTCATTAACCAGCTCTTCTTTAAAAGACAACAAAGGCAGAAATGTACCATGATCTGCACCTGAACTGTCCTGCACCCCCAGGTCCTGTCCTCTTGGGTCTTTACCCCCGGTACCACTGGCCAGATCCTGCCTGAAGGGCCTGCCTGGTGCTTGGGGGACTGTCTCCTTCTCAGGACTGTGCCCTTGGTGCTTTGCTGGGTTATTTTTTTAATCTCTGATTTACCTCTAAACATTTCTTGAACTCTGTTCTAATGAGGGAAACTCTGTTTCCAAACTTTGTGGGGGGCCGTTGAGGCTTCTACGGCCTTCACTGTGAACTGTCCTGGGGTTCTTTACAGTTTCATCTTTTTCTGTAGCTCTTTGTTCCTGGGTGATAGGAGCTTTGCAGTTCCCACGTGACCTTATAGGCCCCAGTTGTGTGAGCAGTTGCATCACTGAGGGGACCCCTTTGAGGGCTCTGTGTAACTAATGTGCCAGTCAGTACTTGGTCTCTTGAGTGAGGATTTAGATGTTTGTTTCCTCTATCTAGTGCCACAGATATAAGTAGTAAAAATTGTAGCTTGAAGCATTGTTTTGGGTTTATTTATTTATTTATTTATTTTAAGATATACTCCTATGAGCTTTTTTTCTCCTATTGTGATGTATTAGGTCAGTACTTTTGTCTTTTGAATGAAGTTTTTTTTCCTCTGTCAAGTACCATATAAATAAGTAGTGATATTAATGGTAGGTTCCTTTTTCTCACATCTCAGGTGCACAAGATACATCTGATTTAATGTCGCCCAGCAAACGTAACTCTCAGAAGTACATAATAGAAGGACTGACTGAGAAATCATCCCAGATTGTAGACCCTTGGGAAAGGTTGTTTAAGATTCTCAATGTTGTTGGAATGAGATGCGAATGGCAGGTGGATAAAGGGAGACGGTAATGAATAGTTTATTTCCAGAATTGCTTATGAAATCCTTGGTTGTGTCATCTCAGAATCCCTGTAGAAAACAAACCATTTAAAAAAAGAAAATCAGTATCATGCACAGATTCACTTCTTTGGGGAATGGGGATTTTGTTATAGTCACCGTTCATGCAAGAGAAGAAGGTACTTTTTCATCTTAGGCAAAGATTCCTAGTGAAGGGTAAACTCCTAAAATGGTATTGAGTGGGGCTAGGGAGAGTGCTCAGGGATAAAGTGTGAGGGACAAGACTAAAGCTGAGCAGTTGTGACAGCTGCCCATGATCCCAGCACTGGGAGGCAGAGATGGGATTCTTGGGGCAAGCTTGTCACGTAGACAAGCTTGAATCGACTTGTTCTGGGTTCATTGAGAGCTCTTTTCTCAATAAGTAATGGTGAAAGTGATCAAGATTGGCTTCATATGCACATACACTTACATGATTCTAGTACCACCCAGATACTGTACCACACCTCAGCAAACACAAGTGTACATATCCATGCTCCCCAAATAAGTATCTGGTATTCCTTTATTTGGGCATCCATGGACTTCCCTAATCCACCCTCATTTTGTACCCAACAGGAAGTCCACGAATACCTGAATAAAGAATAACAGGTATTTATTTGGGGAACACTCATACAAGAAAGGTAAATAGGATAGTGCAATGCAGGATGCTCAGACCACCACCCAAGAGAGAGAGAGAGCCAGACTCCTCCTCTTCCTTGTAGGGGATCATGTCTGCACACCGAAGTCTGCTGGCAGAACAAGTTGCCACTACAAATCACACACACACACATTCAAATAAGTCAGACAGTGCTGAGTGTGGTGGTGCACACGTTTAATCCCAGCACTGGGGAAACAGAGACAAGTGGATCTCTGAGTTCAATAGCCAGGGCTTTACAGAGTACTTTTGTCTTCAAAAACAAAACAAAAAATCAAACAAGCAAAAAACCCAAAACAGTAAAAAATAAATAAAATCAAATGATGTTGAGAGCATGATCCTATCTTGTTTGTGCAAAGAAAAGAGAAGTTAACTTGACATGCTTCTGTCATGAGGTTGTCTTTGTTCATAGCTCCAGGTCAGAAGGGGAAATTTACCAATCGTGCAAACAACAAAGAATAACTTTAATATGAATAAACATGTCTCAGAAGAACTTAAGTGGCTAGCACAATGAAGAAAAGATGAGAAGCAATAAATCCTTGGGATGGAGAAAAACTAACACTGAACTGTTGATAGGAGTGTAAATTAGTTCAGCTATTATGCAAAATAGTGTGTAGGTTCCACAAAATCTGACAGTAGATCCACCTTATAATCCATCATATCCAAGAGACGTCTGTATGTTTATGTTGGTTAATATGCTGTCTGCAGTAGCTGTGATCCAGAATCAATCTAGATGCCCACGAATGGATAATGGAACTGTGGGTGATATGGATAACAATACTATTCAGCCACAAAGTATCGTATTACATCATTTTTGGCAAAATTGATGGGCCTAGAAGACATCAGTCAAGTTAGCCACACACAGGCAAGTTCACCATGGTGCCTCTCACATGGAGGTTAATAATGCCATTTACAGTGTAGAATGGTGACTGATTGTGCCTGTGAGTGGTGGTGGGGAGGGAAGTAGCATTAACCAACATACTCCAATACAACTGTTAAAGAAAAATAACTCCTGATGTTCTGTAGATTGGAAGGTGGTCCACAATAACTTACCTTGTGTGTGGTGCTTCGGCTTGACCGCACATTGTTGCTTACGCCAGGCAAATTCTCTAATGCTAAACAGCAGCCACAGCCCTATAATAGCTTATTGTATACTTAATTTACATAATTTGAACTCAAGGAGGTTGAAGTTTCCAGACTAATGGTGTGAAGGCAGAAGATTACCTAAGGGCCAGGCCTGGTGGCACACACCTGTAATCCTAGCACCCAGAACACGTAGATCTCTGTGAGTTCAAGGCCAAGTTGGTCTACATAGTGTATTCCAGACCAGCCAGGGCTATAATAGTAAACCCTGCCTCAAAAAGAAACCTAATTGCCTGATTTGATCTGCATATGGCACACCTGTATTAAAACGTTGCACTGAGCGTTTGTGAATTTATGTCATTTTTAATGTGTAAAGAGCTAGAAATGTTAATATACCAATTTTATAATATACTGTATTAGATTGCCACAACACACATGAATTTGTGCATTCAAAATAATTTTTAAGGGGCTGGAGAGATGGCCCAGCAGTTAAGAGCACTGGCTGATCTTCCAGAGGACCTGAGTTCAATTCCCAGCATCCACACGAGAGCTCACATGTCTATAATGCCAGCTCTGGGGGATTCGACCCCTTCACACACATACATGTAGGCAAAACACCAATGCACATAAAATAATTTTTTAAAGCTTCCTTCTTTCTTAAAACCACAGAAGTTTACATGCCCAGACACCTACAGGTGCCTGGTGAGTGCAGCGTTCCTCCCAGGGCTTGTCTTTCACCCTCCCACTGACGGGCAGTAAGGAGTTCTGTTCCCTCCCCATCAGAAGCTGCAGTGACATACTGCACCGGATGAAGGAGCTCTGCAGGTACATGAGCAGCTTCGACAGTGAGGCTCACGCCAACTATAAAAACCAAGTGCTGTACTCCACGATGCTGGTCTTCTTCAAGAGTGCGTTCCAGTACATCAGCAGCATACAGCCATCTCTCTTCCAAGGTTAGCTCACACGTTCCTGTGTCAAACCCAAAATACTAGCTGAGCGCAGATAAGAAGGAGATGAAAGTAGTTTACAATAGTCTACTTTCACCGTTGCTGTGGGAGTATAAATGTGTAGAGTACAGTGCTCTTTGTCATCAATAATTTGGTTTGGATTAAGCTTTTATGTAAATATTGCTCACTAGGAATTCCTGTATTAAAACCTGTTGTGGTCATATAAAACTAAATAGGGTTACTGAATGCCTCTGTTTGAAAAGGAAATCAACACTTTTGGAGGATGAGGAGTTCAAGGGCAGCCTTGGCTACCAAGTTTGAGGCCAGGCCTGGGATATACCTAAGACCCTCTCTCAAAAAATCAAAAACACAAAATCAAGAAAAAAAAACCTTAAAATGTAGATTTTTATGAAGACAATACAGTAGCCAAAAGATTTAAGTAAGCTATTTGACCTAAGGCTTTTCATATGTTGTGTTTTTATTTGAAGCATGTAGTTATGATATACTGTAGTGTTCATGATCGTCTTATACTTCATGGTCATTGTTTAAACATAGATGCGGAAGAACAAATGCAAAGCAGGAACAGTCATTCATTTTCAACACTTACAAACGATTTGGTATAAATTCACGTGCCCTTTCTTGCCATGTATGTATATATTCTTGTTGACCTAGTCAGGGTCACACTGGGTGTGTTTTTTATGAGCTTATTTTCATGTGGCACTTGACTTACTTGCTGCTCATATTCACTACTCTTTCTTACTTCTTTTCTAATGTCTGTGTGTCCTCCTTTGTGTAGGTCCTAACGCCCCGAGCCAGGTCCCACTGGTTCTTCTGGAAGATGTGGCCAATGTGTATGGTGATGTAGAAGTTGATCGCAGTAAGCACATACACAAGAAGAGGAAACTAGCTGAGGGGAGAGAAAAAACCATGGTAACCCTTTCACTTAATTACTAACAGATTGTGTGTCATTTGCCAGAGAGAAGCTTTGTAAAATGTGGTTTTGGAGCTAAAATGGTAAAACTTATTAAATGATGTTATAATTAAGTGTAAGTTAGTTGCCTTCAGAGCAGGGACTTTTGCGCCCCTTCTCTTGCTGGTTCATTTGACAATGGTTGGAGACAGTTTTGATTGTCAAAGCCGTGGTTCTGTGAGGAGAGATTGATAGTTGCCCTCTGGTGAGTAGAGGCCAGGGATAGGGCCAAACATCTTAAACCAGAAAGAATAGCCCAGCGGCCCGAGAGTGTCTAGGTCTACAAACCCTGTTTTGAGTTACTTAACTTTGTTTTGGCTGATGAGTATTGAATAAATTTACAAAACCACCTGGGAACTGTTGGCTGGAGTAGGATGCTGTGATGGATGTTGGCCTCAGGGTGGGAAGGGCAGCCTGCTCAGCCCCATAAGATACAGGAAGGGGTCTCCACTCAGCCTCACTGTTGAGCTCCTATCGTGTGCCTGGGAACTCTCCCTCTGGGCACACACCTGTGTGTTCCCTTCAGTTCTGACTGTTGCATCAGAGCCCCCTGTCTGAGCTTCAATGGCCACATGTATTTCAAGATGGACCCCTCAAACTTTTGCAAGCTGTTTGGAATGCCATACTGTCTTCCCCCAAAATTGAGGTTCTTCAATAAGTGTCTGACCTAATTAGGAAGCAGAACTGTCTTTCATAGGTTGAAACACTACTGAACCCACTGTTTACAATAGTAAACAGGTTCCTAGTTCACTACTGCTTGGTATGGAACAGAACTCTGATGAAACAGGATGTCCAGTGGATTGCGCGTGCGCCATTCCTGAGGCGGACGTGTATGGTAGGGTAGATTCTCCAGGTACAAGAGGCAGCAGGAGGACACTGCAGTCTGAAGGCAGGCAGGCAGGCAGGAAGGCTGTTAGAAGGGAGGTGACTGAAGAGACAGCTCAGTGGTTAAGAGCACTTCCAGAGGACCCGAGATCAGTTCCCACCACCCACATCAGGCCAGTCATCACTGCCTCACCGTAGCCATCTGAGAGCACCTGCACGCACTAGCACATACTCACATGCAGAATGCACTCACACAGAATCAAAAAAAAATGAAAATCAATCTTGATGAAAGGTGGCAGCCAAGGCAGAATGTCTTCTGTGAGGTAAGCTGGGGGATGAAGTGCTTCACTGAAACCTCTGTCTATACTGTGAGGACTTCAATGTGCTGAAAGCAAGGGCCAATTTACCTGGGCCTGTGGAATGGCAAAGTGAGTTGGGTAGAATAACTGACTGAAGAGATTTTTGACAGTATGAAGCTCAGTGACCTGTTTCACCTTGACTCTTTTGGCAGCATCTCTAGACATGCCCAGTGACATTTATGGCATTGGCCTTTTCTGCATCTCTCTTGCTTCTTTGACTTTGTATGACATGAAATGAAGAGTAGAAGTCTTTACTGTATAACACAGAGGGCATCCCAGACTCACACCCACCTCAGCAGCAGAGCTGACAGTGGTATGAGTGTGGCTGTGGGCACTCATGGACTGCTGCTTCTGTGTCTTAGGGAACCCAGACTTCTGTTTATTCTACTGTGTGGCAGTAACATATTAAGGCAATGAGAAACTAAAGTGAGTGCCACTCACACATCTCTCAGTGTAAGAATCTGTTTTAGTTTTCTTTGATTAAAACGTTGTGTTTTGAACTTGCAAGAAATCAACCAACTTCATTTTAAAGATACAACTTGACAGCATGAGAACGTCAAGATGAAAATCATATATCGATCCTTGGAGCTCAGTGTTAAATCAGAAAAGCTGTGCACATGTAATGTTGTTTGACACAAAAGCCATAGAGGGCAGCGTGCAGGGCAATGACTAAATATTGTTTCAGCCTGTGATGGCATTCATGACTGTCAGTGAACCATGCTCTTCCCGTCTCACAAGCAGAGCTCAGATGATGAAGACTGTTCAGCAAAAGGAAGAAACCGGCACATTATTGTCAGTAAAGCTGAGCTCAGCAACTCCATCGAAGTGCTGGAGAGCTTCAAACTGGCCAGGGAGAGCTGGGAGCTGCTCTACTCCCTGGAATTCCTCGACAAAGGTGAGCGTGTGCTTGTCATTGACACCATTTATTCATATAAAATCAACTCTAAAAGATCATTGTGGCATTTGAAATGTCAGCTCTCAGAGCTTATTGAAGCAGGTCTAGGCATTCACTCGTTTTATAGGATTCTTTTTTTTTTTTTTTTTGATCAGGAAATCTGTTCAATTAACCATTCATCTCTGAGTTCCTCCTAGACCATCAGGGCTGGACAGAGTGGGAAGGACAGCATTTGGTGTTTGTCCCTGTGTTTGTATCACTCCTTCTTGTTCATGATCTATTCCTCTTCTGCCTCAAGCTGCCTGTGTTCTGCAGTACAGAAGGCAATGTGGCCTTTGTCTGCCATCAGCTTGGAAATGGAGAAAGTCTGTTTTCTTTTTTGAAACAGGATCTCAATATGTAGCTCTGGCTGGCCTGGAACTTCCTGTATAGACTAGACTGGCCTAGAACTCAGATCCTCCTGAGTCTGCCTCCCAAGTCCTGGGATCAGAAGTATGCGCCACCTCACATTTTGAATGAAGACATTAACGATTCGTGTGCCTGCTTTCTAGGACTCAACCTCCTCTTTGCTAACCAATCATGTTTGCTTTCCTGTGAAATCAGGGCCCATTAATTTCTTGTTAGGCAGTGAGCATGCATCCTTTGGGCTCCTATCACATAGCCAGACAGCCCCTTGTCAGATGTGTTATCTTTTCTAAGGGAATATAGCCTGTTTCTTTTGTTATTGTGTGTGTGTGTGTGTGTGTGTGTGTGTGTGTGTGTGTGTGACTATTTTGGAAGAAATTTTCTTTAGTCCTAAATCAAACTTTTTAAAAAAAATAAATGGACAGCTGGGACTACATAAGACCTTGTCTTTAAAAAAAAAAAAAAATACAAAATGCATGGGGTAATGCCTGAAAAGTGTAGTCCTTGGCATATGATGCATGCTTACAAATGTTGGTGTATAAAATCCTTCCTGTGGGTTGGTGAGATGGCCCAGTGAGTAAACGCACTTGCCAACAGGCCTGATGACTTGGAAGCCATATATGGGAGGAGAGAACCGACTCCTGCTAGTTGTACTGTGACTCCACAACTGTGCCATGGTGCACATGCATACCTGAAATAAATAACACGTGAAAAAGAATCCTTGCATATCAGCGAAGAGTGTCCCTGGCCTTACTGCCTACCAGAAATTCTGGAGCATCGGTGAAAGGAACCATTCAGCTTTATTAGTTTGTGCGTTTTTCTCTCTGTTGCCTCTGTTCACCAGTTTGGGGTGAATTTGCTTTCAAATTCTCACACAGAATTTACAAGAATTTGTTTGGCTTGGAAGACTGACACCTGGCTGTGGCTAAGAATCTTCCTCACAGATATGATCATCTACCAGGTAGAGTGACAGGCATTTCCGGCTGCTGGGTCTGTGCAGGGTGGGGTCTTGGCAAACTGATCTGAGGTGTGTGGTGCTCCCTGGGGGCTGGTCCACTGCCTGTCCACATCTTATTCTGTGGCTGTGAGATTACTTACAGTCCACTTTCATCCCCAGGTGTCTCACTTTCTAGGTGACTTTCGTTGTGTCTAGTCTTGTTCTTCTCTCCCCTGTGTATAGAAGCGAGACACCACACAGCCATATTTATCTCTGCCCTCTTGTACATTAAAGGTAGCATAAATGCTTCTCAGTTTTCTTAACGTTTTTCCATCTTAAATTACCATACAAAGTGTCAGGTTTCCTTACGGCATCTAAACCAAGTTTGCTTTTGTTGATCCCGCACCATCCACCTGCCTGCTTTGTGCTCTTCTCCCTCCAGCAGCCTCTTTCTCTGTCCCCATAAAAGTTCTATT